TGCGAGGGGTGAGGAGAAGGTGGAAGAGGGTAGGGGAAAAAATTTTTTTGTGAAAGATAAATTTTTTTTTTTTTTTTTACGGGAAGGGAAATTTTGTTTTTTTTTTTTTTTATGTGTAGGGAATTTTTTTTTTTTTGTTTTGTTTTTTTGAATTAAAGAGTCGTTAAGGGATGAGAAAATAAGGGTGAAGAGTGGAGAGGGTTGAATGTTTTGTAAAAAAAAAAAAAAAAAAAAAATTGTCGAGCATTAAAAAAAAAAAAAAAATTCACATTTCTAACATTTGACGTTGTTTTCCCCGCCCCCCTCTCCCTTCTTCCTTTCCCACTCCTCCACTCCCCACTCTCTCCCCGGTATGCTTTTTTGTTTTTCCTACTCTCTCTCTCTCTTTTTTTATTTTAATTTTCTCTCTCTCTCTCTTTCTCTTTTTTTTCCCTATGTGCTTCCACCTCATTTCCTCGCAATCAATAAACCGGAAACTAAGTTTTATTTGTTTTCCGCCCAGCGGAAATGGCCTTTAATTAAAAAGTGATGAAAAGAGAGAAAGAGAGAGAGAAAGAGAGAGAGTGAGTGAGCGAGGGAGGAAGAAGGAGAGGAGAAGAGTTAAAACAAATTCTCATCGGTTAAAAAAAAAAATAATAATAATAAATAAATAAAATTTTTTTTTCTTTTTTGTTTCGTCTTATTTCGCGACACGAATTCGCGAACCGGAAATTGCCCCGGAAACAAACTAAACAAACAAACAAACAACGTTTTCGTTTATTATTATTATTATTACTATTATTATTTCTTTAAAAAAAATTTTTTTCATTTAAAAATTCATGAAATGTAAAAAAAAAAAAAAAAACTTCGTGGAAGAAGAAAAAAGAAACCGGAAACTCCGATTGCTTTTTTTTTTGTTTGTTTTTCAATCCGTAATTTTGGTAATTTTTCTTTTTCCGGTTTTTTTTCTTTTTTCATTCGGATGAGGGAGGTAATTATTATTATTATTATGTTTTGAATATGTAAAACCTTTTCTCTCTCTCTCTCGTTTGTTTGTTTTTCCTTTTCTGTTTTAAAGATTTTAATGATTTTGAATGATTTTGGAAAAGGTTTGGGGGGGGGTGGATTCTAAATCAAACGAAATTTACAGTGGCACCAGAAATATTTTTTTTTTTTTTATCTAACGAAAGGTTAAAAATAATAATGATGATGATGATGTTGGGGATGATCCACCACGAGTACGATATGGGAAAGCTAAACGTTTTTAAATTACTTTCGGTTTCTCTCTCTCTCTCTCTCTTTATTGTTGTTGCATTTTTTACTTCCTGTTTTGTTGTTGTCGTCGTTGGTCGGTCGGTCGGTCGATTTCACCCCTCGAGTGTTTCACTTCATCGAATTAGGTTTATCATTTATGCAAACCATATTCAGAACGTAGGGTCATCAAATGATTCATGTGTGCTTGTGCGTGCTTGTGCGTGCGTGTGCGTGCGTGAACCATCCATCATTCTTTGAATACTTTATTGACCCACCTCTGATGATAAAATGATGATGATGATGATGATAATGATAATGATTCTTTTATTGTTCATCCATCTCTCATCATCCCACCAAATAAAAAATTTTTTTTTTATCAACTTCGTTTCAATTGATTAAAACGAACAACGAGTTTAAAAAAAAAAAAAAAAAAACTATTGTTCGTGTTCATTTAGTTTAAAACTGTCCCTTTTTTTTTTTTTCGTGACAAATTTTGTCGTCTGCTGCATCGTTTGTTCTTCTCTCTCTCTCACTCTCACTCTCTCTCTCTCTTTCTCTCTTTTTATTCTAAATAATTCATCGTGAGTATGCAAACTCAAACGATGATGACAACCGTAAGTGAGAGGCATTTGAAAAACTCTTATTATTATTATTACACCGCCATTGATAGATAGACGAAGCAGAAGACGGAAAAAACAAAATTTTAATTTGATTATTATTATTATTATTATTATTATTATTATTATTTTTTTTTTTTTTTAAGGATATATTTATTTATAAAGATTTCGATTAATCGAATTATTTTCCGTTGTTTTTGGTTTTAAGGATATAACGAATTGATGTTGGATGTTTGGTTTTTTTTGCATGCCAACGATTGCCCCCCCCCTCCACTTTTTTTTTTAAGGGAATATTCTAATGCCCCGATGATTTTTTCGATATCATTGTTTCGTCGTCTTTTTTTATATAAAGTAAGCCACGATGAAAATGTTTTACCCGTTACCGTTTTGAATTTTATTATTATTTTTTCTTATTCTTCTACTTTTTTTTTCTTCTTGTTTTTTATCTTCTTCTTCTTTATTATGTTTTTTTTCTTCCTTATCTCCTTTTCTTCTGTTTCTTTATCCTCTTCTTCTTTTTTTTCTTTATTTTACTGTTTTTTTTGTTTCCCCTTTTCTTTTTCCTTTTTTTTCTTTCTCTTTTTTTTTTTTTTGTTTTTTCTTTTTGTTTTTCTGATTTTTCTTATTCTTCGTTTTTTTTCTTTTTTTCAATCTTTTTCTTTGTCTCTTTATGGGCTTTTCTCTTTTTTCTTTTTCTTTTTCTTTATTTTATTATCATTTTTCTTGTTCTTCCTATCCTCTCTTCTTCTTTTTTTTTTCTTCTTTTATTTTTTTATCTTTTTTTTCTTATTCTTTTTTTTCCTTGTCTTTTTTTTTTTTTTCTTTTTATTCTCTTCTTCTTCTTCTTTTTGCTCTTCTTTTTGCTCTTTTTCTTTATCTTCTTCTTTTTTTCCTTTATTTTATTCTGTATTTTCTTGTTCACCTTTTTCTTTTTAATATTTTTTTTCTTTTTTCTTGTTCTTATTATTTTTTTCCTGTCATTATTTGTTTTTCATTCTTTTTTCCTGTCTTCTTTTTCCTTTTTTTTTTTTTCTTCTTCTTTTTTATCTTATTCTCTTTCTCTTTTCTTCTTCTTTTCATTTATTTTACACTTCTTTTTCTTGTTTTCCCTTTTTTACTTTTTTATTTTATTTTCTTTTTCTTTTATTTCTTAATCTACTTCTTTTTTTTTCTTCTTCTTCCTTTTCTCCTTTTCTGTTTTTTCATTTCGATAGAAAGAAGAAAAAAAAAAGTTTTTTCAATAGGATAGGAATAAAAAAATTGAGAGGGAATAGAAAAATGTTTTAGCACCAAATATTTTGTTTTTAACCATTTCGATCTGTCAATTACTTCCAGATGTTAAAAAGTGTTTATGCGTTTTCAAGCAAAAAGAGAAGAAAAAAAAAATTTTTTTTTCTTTTTTTTTTCTCCGGGTTTTCTTAAATTACGTAATAAATTTTGTAAAAATGGATTCGAGAGTATATCGGGAGTGGTAGCGGCAGGGGGCGTAGGTGGGTGGGGATGAGAGAAAGAGAGAGAGAGGAGAGGGCACGAGGAGGAAAATAAAGTTAACCATGCAGGGTGAAGAAAAAAAAAAACATGAAAGTAAAGGGAAAACGTCTGGATGCATATACGGAGAGAAAAAGAATAGAGAAAGAGAAAGAGAAAGAGAGAGGGCCAGAGAGAGAGAGTAAAAGAGAGAAAGAAACAAAGAGAGAGAGAGAGAATAAGTCAAAAGAAAAATTTATTTTAGGTTTAAATTTTCGAAAAAAAAAGAAAAAAGAAAATTTTTTATTTCCTGTCGTGGAACAGAATTTTCACCATCGCCCCCTTCTCCCCTCGCCTACGCACACGCACACACGCACTCACGCACTTTTTTATTTTCTCTTTTTCATTTTTTTTTTTTTTTGTATGCAAATGTTTTTTTTTTTTTTTTTTTCGTTACAATTTGAATTCAAATTGGAGCCAAAACGAGATATACATATATACATGTGTATATTTTATTTTAAACTGGAGAAAAAAAAAAATTTTATTTCTGGAGAAGAGAGAAAGAGAAAGAGAGAGTGAGAGAGAGAGAGAGATAAAAAAAAAAGTTTGGCTTTCGCTTGGAAATCGATTTTGGAAAAAAAATTTTTTTTTGTTGTTGTTGTTGTTGTTAATGAGGAACAAAACTTTTTTTTTTTTTAATACGAAACTAAAAATTATAATTTTTTTTTTGAGGAGATGGGAGAGGGGAGAGGGAGGATCTCTTTCCTCTACTCCCTTTCCCCTCCTCTCCCGCGTAATGCCGCACCCTCTGGCGTTATTTTTTTTAATTAGTTGTTAGAAAAAAAGTTTTTAGCCTAGTTTTTTTTTTACATGATGTAACTGCATTGCTACAAAAAATTTTTTTTTTCTTTCTTCCCTCATCCATCTCTCTCTCTCTCTCTCTCTTTCTCTTTCATCCGTTCATCTTTCTCTCTCTCTCTCTCTCTTGTTTCTCGGTTTTTGAAATTTTTATTATTATTTTATTGCATCGCATTTCCTTTTTTTTTCGCTGTCAAAAATCGTTATAACATTTCACGTTGTTTTTTGTTTTCGTTAATTATTTTTCTGTTTTGTTTGTTCGTTCGTTCGTTTGTTTGTTTGTTTGTTTGTTTGTCCAGTTCACAGTGAATATTTTCCTTTTGGCTTTTTTTCCCTTCCCCTTCCCCTCTCCATCTTTTCCTCTCTCTTTCACTTTCTCGTTTGATGAAAATAAAATATGGAAACGTTTGAAAAAAAAAATTTTTTTTTTTTTAATAATTTTTTTTTTAATTGGGTGGGGGGAAGGAGAAGGGTAAAGGGGAGGGAATGTAAAAAATATATTTATTAAAATCATGTAAATTTCATTTAAAAGGAAATATTTCAAAGGAAAAATTCATATTAAAAAAAATAAATAAATAAATAAATTAAATCATCAAACCCGAAGGCTTCGATTACAAATTTTTTTTTTTGAAAAAGGAGTATTATTATTATCATTTTAATCTTCAAGTAAATGAGAGAAAGAGAGAGAGAGAGAGAGGGAGAAAAGTTTTTTTTTCCTATAATCCATTTGTTTCCCCTCTCATTTCGATCATTTCCAATATGTATATATTTTTTTTTCTCTTCTCATTTCAAGTTTGTCGTACGTATTGCCTTAAGACATATAAAATGTTTTTGCGTGTTTGAGTGTGCGTGTGCGCCCCCTCCGCCCCCCACCACCATCCTATCATTTCATTTTCATTTTTTTTAAATCTCATATAAATTAAAAATTAAAAAAAAAAAGTAAAAAAAAACGAAATCGAATGAAAGTAAAAAAAAAAAATTTTTTTTTTTAATAAGTTTTTCTTTTCCCCCCAACTCTCTTTCTCTCTCTCCTTCTATCTCTTTTTTTCTTTTTTTTTTAAATCAAACAGAAACAACAGAATCAAAAAAAAAAAAAAAAAATTTTGTTCCTGCCTTTTCCGCAAAACCTGTGAGTTTCCAGGGATAGAAAGAGATGTTCGAGGTCTTCTATCTATCTTCCTTTTACATCGTAGCTTCGTATTTTCCCAGGCTTATCCTCTCGAACAAGGTTCGGCACATACCCAATGCGTCAAAACGATGCTAGGTTACTTATCCTCTTACGTAGGTACAAATCTGTTCTTCCTAAACGAGCTGAAATTGAACACAGACGATGACTTAAATGGTGGATTCAACCTGGCCCCCTTTTTGACTACCTCTGTTCCTCCCTCCAAGGGATCTATGTTGAAGATTCATCCCTAGCGGACGCCTAGTGTATCCCCGTTTTTTTAAAACATCCTCCGAGTAGTTGAATCAAATAAATAAATCCTCATTATTTTATTTTCAGATTTGTCGGGTTATTTGAATCGCGGATCCTCAAGATCTCCAAACAGTATAATAGCAAAAGAAGAAAGTCCAAAAGAATATCAGCTCACGAGAGACGAATTCGAATTCACAAAAGAATATTTAAATAAGGATTTTAAAAAATACGATCATTTAGAATCGGATATAAGGGATATATATAAAAAATTAGATTACGAGGATTACGAGAGGCATAGTAAGAAGAAAAAAGACGGATATGACGTTTCGGGGGTTGCAAAACTATCGAAAATAGAAATCGAAAGATTGCGTAAAAGTTTATTCAACGAATCCGATAACGGTGATAATAATTATTACGGTGATAATATAAACGTGAAAACCACACTCGTCGTCGGCGGCTCATCACCATCACCATCATCATCATCATTATCGTATAATAATAATAATAATAGTAGTAGTGGTAGTAAAAAAACTACGGATTTACGAGACTACGAATTACAAAAACCGGATTACATAATTAAAAATTCAGAATTTTTACAAAAGAGCAACGAACTCTTATCAAAAATAATAACAAAAGAAAGAAATTATAAAAAACCGGAAGGAAGTGTCGTCATTGGTGGCGGTGGTGGCGGTAGCGGTAGCGGTAGCGGTGTCGGCGGTATTAACGGTAGTGGCGGTGTCGGTAGTGGTAGTATAAGAGATATAGATAATCGTTTGATATCGGATTATAATCGGATTAAAATATTAAAAGACTCAACGTCGTCGTCGTCGTCATCTTCGGGCGGCAGTAACGGATTAAGGTCGAAAGATGAATTAAGCTTGCAAAATTATTGCGGGTCGATACGATTGCGAACGGGTAGTTTAAGTCGAAGTTACGACGATAAAGATTCCGATAAGTTAAAATACGATATTGATAACGTGAGATTGGACAAACATCATTCGCATCATCATCATCATCACCATCAACAGCATCAGCATCACCATCATCATCATCATCGTCAAAATGATAAAAATTACAGCACGTCAGAAGATGAAAGCATCGACAGGACGACAGGAATTGAAAAAAATGTTGATGGTATATCGGGTTATACAAAAGGAATTGCTTATTTATTAGCGGGATACAACAACCGTAAGTTTGTTTTTTTTATTACGTTTGTTTGTTTGTTTGTTTGTTTGAAAGAAAGAGAGAGAGAGAGAAAAAGCGTGGAATCAAATATATTTCGTGACCGTAACGAAAGTGGTTACAGACGATTAAACAAAAAAAAAAAAAAACTAATCAAAAGATTTAAATCTCTTTTTTTTTTTGCGAGAAGGGTGAATGAACATAAGCGCGCGTTAAGGGATGGAAATAATATAAAGTGGGATTAACCGCAATCTCAATTTTTTTTTTTTGGAAAAATGCAAATAATTTCTAATGCCACGATCGTTTGCGTAGCGTCGTATCGTATCGCATTTTAAAATGAAGGATGTATGGGTAAAAAAAAAAAAAATTTTTTTATTAATTATATGACGTCGTTTCGCCCTTGTTGTTGTTGTTTCTAATGCCACGACTGACGCGTGTAACATGAGTTTATTACAATCGTAAAAAAATTGAAGAAATTTTTTTATTTATTAATTTTTTTCGATTTTATGGGGGTTGTTATACACGGGGTAATGGTAACAAATTTTTTTTTTTCCCCGTTTTCATAGGGGTGTGTGTTTGTATATGCGTTTGTATGTTAAAGAATTATACAAGCTGTTACAAGAGTGAGAGAGAGGGGGAAAGAGAACAAACAATAGATAATTGTCAGAGTTAAAAAGATTTTTCTGTGTGTAATTTTTGATTGAACAATTTTCAAAAGGACACATAAATTTTAAAATTTTATGTTTTCTCACACGATGTAAATAAATTTAAATTTAATTTGTTTTACAACTTGTTACGTGTTGTTTGTTTGTTTGTTTGTTTGTCGTGCGGGTTTAAAAATCTTTTTATTCTTACGTACAAAGGCTCACACACACTCACGCACACCTACAAGCGCTACTAATTTTTTTCCTTTTTTCTTAATGAATTTTTATCATTATTATATACCGTTTTTTAGTGTCACGTGATTATAACTTTAAACGGTTAAAACAAATCCAGAAAAAATACAAACAAACAAACGAACAAACAATTTTTTTTTTTTCGTTAACCGTTTTTGGTTAAGTTTGACAAATCGACGACGACGATTGAACGGAAATGTTTAAAAAAAAAAGAAAGCAAAGTTATGTTGTTTTAGTTGTTGTTGTTGTTGTTTTTAATATTGTTTTTAGTAACAAACAAGCAAACAAACAACAAAACGTTTTTTTAATTTAAACTCTGTTTGTAAAAAATTCTTGAAAGACAAAAAAAAAAAAAAATTCGTTTTAGACTTCGTGAGTTTTTTTTTCATTTTAGTTGAAACAGAAAAAAGAAAAAATTAAATTCCGTAAGAGAGAGAAAAAGAGAGAGAGAGAGTGAGTGAGTGAGAGAGAAAAAATACGTTCGCTTTATACCGTTCGAGAGAGAGAGAGAGGAAAGCAAAAAAAAAAAAAAATTTAAGAAATTAAAAAATTAAAAAAAAACTTTTTTTTATTTTATTTTTTCATTTTATTATTTGTCTCGATGCGTATGTTTCGGTTAATGAAATTTTTTTTGTTTTTATGACGTCATAACTATTACGTCGCAAGTTGTTAAAAATGATAATGTGTTGGCAAAAGGGTTTTAGATGTAAGGGCAAGGGATAACGAAAAAGAAATATTTACGAGTGGACAAATCATTGGTTAAACAAACAATCGAAAGTACCAAACGGAAAAAAACAAAAACAACAACCGGAAGTACAACAAACAAAACCGGAAACGTTTTTTTTACCCGGTTAACAACAACAACAACAACCGATGAAACCGGCGCTAACAATCACTCATCGTTTTATATAAAAATTTTTTGTTGTTCTCACTTTCTCCTCCCAACTCCCTCCCCTCATCTCTTCTGTCTCCCTCCTCGTCTTCTGCTTTTAAAGGGTAAAATTTCGTCTAGACTCCTCATCTGGTTAATGTTTAAAAAACATTTTTCTTTCGGAACTACCAACATAAATTTTTTTTTTTTTTTTTAAATTGTTTGCACTAATTAATTCAACGCCATTTTTGTTTTTTTTTTTTTTTTAATTGAAAACTTTCCAAAATAAAAATTGTAGGACCGAAAACTTTTCTCTCTACCCCCTTAATGTCTCCGTTCCTCCCTCCTCCCCTTCTTTTCTTATTTCCCTCTCCACCAAAAAAAATTAAATAATAATAATAATTTTACTTTGGTAAAACACTAACAAAAAAAAAAGAAACAAAAATTTTAAGAAAACAAAAACCGAGACATAAAGAGAGAGAAAGAGAGAGAGAGAGAGAATGATCGGGAGAGAATTTTGGGGGGAGTCGATGAGGAGAAATAATGTGGGGAGTTTGTAAAATCGATAAAAATGTCATTTCATTCAAATCGGTTGTTGCGTTTTTGCCAAAAAAAAAAAAAACTTTTTATTATTAAATTAAATTTTTTTTTCTTGTCGAATGCGTAAAATGCGTGCGTGCGTGAGTGCGCGTGCAAATTTTGTTTGTTTGTAATTATTGAGTAAATGTTTGTAATTATCGTTGTTTGTTGCTTTCGTTCGAAGAGGAGGATAAAAAAGATTCAAAAGAAAAAAAGAGAGAAACGAGAAGGGGGGAAAATCGTGTACGGGTAGTAGAGAGAGAGGAAGGGAGTGAGTGGGGGGAGGTTAATGCCATATTGTGTAGCTTTTCATTGCCCTGCGGGAAATCAAAAATCTTTTTTTTTTTTTTTTTTTATTCCCACCCCCCTCATGGGCTTCCGCCACAAAGAAAATCGACACTTTTATAATCATTATTATTTTTCGTACTATATGATGATGATGATAATGACGAAATGCAGGTATTACACGGACTTACGCACACGTGTAAAAAAACATGGCGACCGACACAAACAACAACCTTTGAAAAAAAAATTTTTTTTTTCGAATCCCTTCGTTTTTTTTTTTATTTTATTCCACTTACTGCAGACTAACTTTATTAAAATTTCATATTCAATCGTGGAATTAGATTACATTTTCCGCCCTTTCAATATCAAACGTTGTTTGTTGTTTGTTCCCCGTTTGTTTCCCCCCTACCTTCCTCCCCTTCCCACTCTTCCTACCCCCGCGTTTCTTTTCTTATCCGCCTTTTTTCATCCCTTATTTAATTTTTTTTTTTTTTTTTTTTTTCTTTCATTGAATTTACTCTCGCATTTTTTTTCCTTTTTTATTCCCCCTCTCTCTTTCCCCCCTCTCACTCCCCTCTCTCTCTTATTCTTTTGTTAAATTTTTACTGAAAACGTATTGACCTCTCCCAGGTAACCCAAAAACTTATTATTATTATTATTATTATTATTATTATTATTATAATTACATTAAACTTTTTTTATTTTCCATTTGGTTTCCTTCCTTTCTCTCTCTTCCTCTCTCTCTTCCTCTTTTCCTCTCTCTCTCTCTCTTTGTTCCCTTTTTAAAATTTTACATAATTGCATTATATACTTTTTCGATTTATTGCCTTTTTACTCCTTTTTTTTTCTCTCTCTCTGATAACGGTAATTAGTAGTCGAGATGATGACGTATACGAAGGGTGACGACGACAAATTTTTTCAAAGGGTGGCGAAGAGGTGGAGGGGGGTGGGGGAGCGGTATTGATAAAATGGGGCACTTGAAAAAACGAAAAATGGGTCCTTTGATTCGATTTTTATTATTAATTTAAAAATATTATTTTTAACTCGAACAATTAAGAGAGAGAGAGAGAGATGGGGGGATGTGGGGGGAATTGGGGGAAAGGGGAAGGGTAGAAAAGGGTTTTTATATAATTCTCACGCATGGTTTGTTTTCTTTTCCTTTCCTTTTTTTTTTTATTACGGGAGGGTTCGATATAAAAACGTTTCTGCTGTTTTTGTTGTTGTTTGTTATAAACTTGAATCTTTCTTAATTACCAAGACAAATTTACCAGAAGAAGAAAAGACAGAAGAAGAAAATGAAAGAAAAAAAAGAAGTAAAAGAAAAAGGTTAAAACCGTGAAAATCCCTTTTTACGAAATAAAAACGATGATGATGATGATGATGATGATGATGAAGGTGAAATGAGAAAGAAAAAAGATTGAAAAGATGGTAAAATCAGTGAAGCGTACAAAAGTGCGAGAGAGAGAGAGAGAGAGAGAGAGAGAGAGTGAAACGTCTCGAATGATTTCCTACGGTTGTAAATTATTTACACCGATTATTCATTACACCTGAATAAATCGTTTATGTCGTAGGGTGGTTACCACTTTCCCTTTCCCTTCCCTTTCCCCCCTACCTCCTCCCACTTCCTGAAAAATTACATCACCGTATCGAATGCGTGGAGGGGGTGAGGGTAATGGGAAGAGAATATGTGAGGTGATGACGTAATCAAGTTATAACGTTTTTAACATTCATTTAAGATGTGGGATGATAAAATTAGTTTTTTTTTTCTTTTTGGAAAGTTGTCGTATTGCGAACGTTTTTTTTTTTTTTTTTTTCGAAAGTTGCCGTACCGTTAAACGTCTTTTTTTCTCCCTCTTTCTCTCCTTCTTTCTCTCACACACATTCAAGCCTCGATCGTTATTAAACCAAATTTAAAATACCTTTTTTTTCATTTTTTTTTCCCGTTCCTTTTCCTTTTTTTTCTTTTCCTTTGTCTCTCAACCTTTTTTTCTCCTTTTTTTTTTCTTCCTTTTATTACCTTATTTCCATTTACGTAATTTTAGAGAGGTTTTTTTTTTTTAGAAAGAGGTTAAATTCGGTTTTAAAACCCTTCTTTTATTACCACCACCCCTTTTCATCCTCCTCTACCCTTTCCCATCCTCCCCTCACTTGGCATTTTCTCTCCGATTCCTCCATTTTGTTGTTGTCTCTCACGTTTGAAACTTTTAATTTATTCGATCGCTTTCCTTTTTTTTTTTTTAAATCGAATTCGAATCCCTCCGTCCCCGCCTCCGCCTTCCCCCCAACAAAAATAAAAAAAATTTTTTTCCCTTTTTTCTCTTCTTCTCCCGTCCCTCTTCCCCCCTCTCCTCTTCCCGTCGCCACCTTGCCTTTTTTCTACGGTTTATTTCGTTGGAAATTTTATTTTTTTTTAAATTTTCAAAAACCGTTAAAAATTATTATTATTATTATGATTTCCCGCCTTTTTCTTACTCCCACCCCCATTTTTTTTTTTTTAATATTAATAACGTACAATTAAAATTGATTTAATAAAAAAAATCGATTGAAATTATTTAAAAATAAAA